TTGTTGCGACCCAATGGTTTAACTATAACTAATATATTACTAAACTATAATATAAGCTACGCACATATCTGATTCTCAACATTTTATTCATCCCCAGAACTCGTTACATTGTATTAAACTCATATCGAGTAACAAAAGTATTATAATCAGAAATGGGATCCATGAACTTTTTCTTAATGCGTACGTGATTCTCTGCATACGACGCATTAATTCCTATGAATTTCGATCGGGAAATCACATAATTTGCACTCACACATATAAATGAATTAGTTTATCATATCCTAAAAGGATTAAGCCCCTCTTCTAAATAAAAGGTTATATAAAGCCAAAATGGAATTTTAAGTTGGGCTTAGTTGTGTAATTTTCGTATAGACGACAGCATCTCATGTATTAATGAACGGGAAAATAAAAGTATACATGAAAAATATTGTGTTTAATTTGAAATTATTATGATATTATCAATAAACATCTACCGAAATTGGTTGATGAAGAGAAAAGCTAATCGAATCGCCCCAACACATTTGGTGGCAGCGGTTCTCAAACTTTTTTAAAATTTTTTGTAAAAAAAAAGTTTTTTTTAAGTGGAGCGTATTTTTAATAATGTGTTGTAATATTTGGTGACATTTATATTTGGAGCCAGCGGCGATCCCTGGAAAGTTCTAGTTTGAAAATTATTACCTGGTACGACACTATTTTGGTATCTCGAAACCAAAATTTTAATCACGGTTTCTCAAACCTGATAGTCAAAAACGGGGATTTTCTATTTTGAAGTGGAACGATTGTATCTACAACTACGTTACCTGTACGACACTATTTTGGCATCTCAAAACCAAAATTTTAACCGCGCATCTCAAAACCCGGTGGTCAACACGGGGTAGTGTTAATATTTCCACGTCAAATTACGCAGAAGTCAGAGGAAGAAATCTCTGCATCCGAAGATTGCCTTACCGCATCGCAGTACGATTAGTGAATCTTCAATCCAACGCCACTCAAGCCACACACACACACGGAAACGAGCAGAAAAACGAAAAAACGAGCAGAACAAAAATCGAGAGGAAAATAAACCTGAATTGCAGCAGGACCAAGATAACGCACACACGGAAACGAGCAGAAACAGACGAAAAGAAGAAAAATAAACCTAAATTTCGACAGGACTACGAAAATACAAGTTAGTAAAACATTAGATTTAAGATTTTAATTTTTTTTCGAATATTGTATTTTTTCGCTTTCACAAATAAATATAAAAATGAATGATTAATACGACGAACTAAAATAGTGATGGATCAAACTATGATAAATAATGATAATAAATTAAATGTTCAAATCGCGCTTACATTAATACCTAATTTTAACGGAGATTCAAAAACTTTGCCAGCTTTTATATTAGCATGTGACACGTTAGCAGAAGATTTGACGGAAAGCGAAGCGAGAAAATTGCTTAACATTATTAGGTTAAAATTATCGCCAGAATTTTAGCTAAAATACAATTTGTAAAATTTGATTCTTGGAACGACTTAAAATATTACTTAACGCAACAATATGCAACTAAGAACAATACCTAGCTTAATCACAGAATTAAATAGTTTGAGACAGAGACATAACGAATCGGTAAAAGAATTCGGTGATAAAATAGAAGAAATTTTGAGACAGATTTACTTTTGTAACATAACGATGATAGGACAAGATGCAGCAGAAATAATTCAAATGACGTACACACAAATTGGGATAAAATTTTTTGAAAACGGATTAAAAGAACCACTAAGAAACCTAGTTAAATTGCAGATTTAATGATATTACAGATGCTATAAATTTCGCGGTTGAAGAAGAAACGACTAATCAAACTTTTCAATAATGATTTTTCAGAAAATAGACCGACATACTCAAATTACAATCAAAACACATTTTCACACAATTTTAAACCAACATGTTTTATTTGTAAAAAACCAGGACATAAGGCTACAACGTGTTATTATAGAAATAGTGAACGAAATTTTAATAGAGAAATTATAATCAAAGAAATGAAAAATTTTGTAATTTTTGTAAAAATATGGCCACTTAATAACTGAGTGTAACGATCCGAATTGTAGAGTATCTCTAAAACTAATTTTTCAAATTCTCGTATAATATGACGCAGCCACAAGAAACATGTAATTATTCTCGCATACATAAGAAAATACGACAAACTCAACAACGCACATTCACAGGTACACACAAATTACTTTACTTTCACAATCCCAAATTCCATACCTTCAACATCAACAAAAAACGATCCCGTTACAGTACAACAGCTAAATTCAAAAATTATGAGTTCATTTTTAACAACGAAACTGATAATCATGAAATAATTCAATTAATGACAACTAATACAAAAGATGAATTTTCAAAATTTTTATTAGATACGGGAGTGACATTTCATTGATACAACTCGATCAACTACATTTAGACTCATTATATATCAACATTTACAAAAAGAAATTTCGGGAATCACAAATGATAAAATCAAAACTTTAGGCGCAGTTTATTTAGATTATTATAAATGATAATAAAATAACATTCCCATTTCAAGTAGTTAGAAACTTACCGACAAAAGACATAGGAATAATAGGGAAAGATTTTTTGACACATTTTGATGCACAGATAAATTTCAAAACTAAAAATGTTACGTTATGTATTGAAAATAATATTTTTGTACAACATTTAAAAAGAGCAGATTCAAGTTTCGATATACAAGAATTAAAAGACAAAATAATGTAATAGAAACAAATGAGAAAAACTTTCGCTTTTAACAGTTTTAAACGACGATACAAACAGTTTTCAACAAAATTCAAATACTATAAATGAAACTACTATCATCTATACTAATATTTCAGAAAACTTAACAACGAACAGATAAATAAAATTTTATGCGACTTTCATATTTCACAAATGCACGGACGACATTTAGGAATAAGAAAAACCTACAATAAGATTAAAAAATTATATAAATGGCCAAAAATGAAGCGAAATATTAAAGATTTTATAAGTAAATGTACGGAATGTCAAGCAAATAAAGTAAAGAAGAAAGTTAAAAAACCTACTATAATTAAAACTAAGAATCCTTCTCCAAAAACAAAATCCAGAAAATACTATTACGAAAACGCAAATAAAGGACATTTAGAATCAACGATTTAGTATTACTCAGTGACGAGATCTTACTCGAGAAAATGCAAAAATTAATAATGCCTTTATTTAAGGGTCCATATAAA